CCCCGATTTTCCTTCAGGACTTCAATTACATTTCTATTCTCTTTCTCACTCCTAGGAAATATTATTGCATGATGCAATAACTCATTGCATCCAAGCTGGAATTTCACAAATCAGCTAGTGAGTCTCATAGGGAAGTTTCTTCAACCCTCCTGTACTCTGAAGCAGTGGGGCTATTTTTGACACCAGCAATGACAAAACCCACAAACTTTCATTGGACTGGGGCAGTCGCCTTTACTTCAAGTGTAGGGCAGACCATGCGGAAATGTCTCCTAGTCATCAATCACATGCTTAAGGTCTGCATGATGCCAGTGCTCAGTGCCAGATCTGAGGCCGCCCAAGGCTGGCATCTCGGAAGGAAACCTTATGTGCGTGTGCTAAGCAGTGCTCTCTAAAGCATGGAGACTGGGCAGGCACCCCTCTTAGCTGGATCTAAGGTCAGGTTTTCTGATTTTCATTTTTGGCCATTCTGGGCCAAATCATTCCTTGTGGAGGTCCGTCCTGTGCAAAGCAAGCTGTTTTGTAGCAATCTGGACCTCTGCCTAAGATGCATCCCCTTCTCAGTTGTGATAACTGTCCCGATTGAAAACACCATGTCCAGGGACCAGGTATCAAAGAAAAAAATCAAATCATTGTGAATGACGGGGGGAGTGCAGATTGGGGACCCAAGACCCATCTGTAGGCAACTGGACAAGGGTCTAGTTACAGAAGAGTCACGGGGTGCAATCTAGCAACGATGAAACATACAACTTCCCTCTAGTTCTTAAATGCTTCCTCCCCACTACCATCATGATCCCAATTCTACCTTACAAACCTGGCTAGACCAAAGGATGCACACTGGTACAGCTAGGAACTGGAAACATGGGGAATCCAGGACAGATGATCCCTTCAGGACCAGTGTTGGGAGTGGCGATACCGGGAGGGTGGGGTAGAAAGGGGGAACCGATTACAAGGATCTACATATAACCTCCTTCCTGGGGAATGGACAACAGAAAAGTGGGTGAAGGGAGACGTCAGTGTGAGATATGACTAAATAATTTATAAATTATCAAGGGTTCATGAGGGAGGGGAAAAATGAGCTGACACCAGTGGCTCCAGTGGAGGGCAAATGTTTTGAGGATGGCAACAAATTACAAATGTGCTTGACATAATGGATGGATGTATGGATTGTGATGAGTTGTACAAGCCCCCAATAAAATGATTAAAAATAAAAAAGCAAAGAAAACCATCTGCCCAAGGACAACCCTATAGATAAGGCTTATATGACGTTCCATTTGGAATTTAATACCAGTAAGCAGTCTGCTTAATAACAAAGCACAGTTTAACTTGAGGTATAAGTTAAAGTGGGTTCTTTTCCTTTGGCTGTTTCGTAATTCAATGCTGATTCATGCTTAGTATGTTAACTTCAGGAGTCTGTTTCCGACTCACTTTATAAGCTTTAAAAGCCATTCTGGAAATGGCTTCATGTGATTTGAAACTTGGCAGGCAATGGTTCCAGATGGAAATCAATCTGAGGAGGCAACGTATTGCTCCTGGTAACCGTAAGACGCACCATCTCCCGTGGTGGGAGTCTGACCGTTCCGGCGGCTTTGAGGACAGTGAACAGTAATGGGAGTTGAGGGACAGGGAAGACAGTGGAAGTGTGGTGGGCATACCTTGTGCGACGAGCACTGGACATATATTCCTTTGGTTTTTCTCATGCCAGAAATAATTGTGGGATGTTTTCAAAGAGAGGGGTGGAGAACTGAAGTTCAGACATGTACCCAATAGAGTTCGAGCCACAGTAATTTGGGCATCAGAGCTAATGCGTACTTCCAGTTTAGAGTAAAATCTCTCCTGTCTTTTCTTGGAATTCACCCGAAAGCAACAAGAAGTAGAAAATGAAGTACAGCCTCTTACTTCAGCGCAGTGAGACATCTGACAATCTTAACTGAAATTAAGTTTGGGAGAGTTGCCAAAGCAGTGACTAGCCCATGGGCACATGCAGAAGGGTTACAGCGAGGGAGCGAGAGCGTCTCCTTGGACCACAGTGAAGACACTCGGAAGCTTGCCAGCATGCAGAGCCGAGAAGAGACTACGCTGTGACCTCGTGTGGTCCGATAGCACCTGCTCTCCAATGGCAGGGCCGTAGATTCAGTCTTGGATCTTGGGAGAGATTTGTTAACTGACCTCTCCCGACATGAAACGCCTGCAAACTCCCATAAGGGCCTCACTGAAGTGTCTTAGCAGCTTTCCCCATCTAGACAAATGACAATTCTTTCGGGTGTTCCTTCATGACTATCTCTCCGTCTGTTGGCTCTACTCTCAGAATCCGTCTCACGGCTTCGGCCACGACCACGACCACGCTAGTAGTGCCGGCTCCAGTGCTCGGTGTCCCAGCAGTCTCTAAGCGGGGTGCTCCATTTGTGTCAGTGCTCATTTCAAACACAGCTGCTTAAGTGTAACACTCAGATCAGGCGGGGTTTCCAAGGCAAGGCTTGACCTCAATCTTGGTTTGTTTTTGTTTATGAAAACTCCAAGAAACTGTTGATATGGGGAATAACTTCTTTTAGAACCTTCACTTGGCCTCTGAGCTGTTTTGGAATGATAAGCCTCAAACCAGTGATCTTTCAAGATTCTTAATAAACTTACTAGCTGACAACTCGGGCACATCAACTGGCCACCAGCTGGCTCACAAAAGGAAACCATTCAGGTCTCAATTTCAACGTGTTTCAGATTGTTCCTGTTTGGGAGCCTTGGAAGTTTTCATTTGCTGGACAATTAACCACAGTGATACCTGCGAATGCTTAAAAGTTACTGCCTTTTTCCAATAGGGGAACGGCTGCAGTGAATATTGCTTTAGTACTAAGTACAAGGAGTGGCCAAGACCTCAGATTTCCTACAGCTCCCCTTTATGCACTTCCTAGAACCCCAAACCAAACTCACTGCCATCAAGTTGACTGCCTCTTGTGGTTCCCAAGATTTGTCTTTACTGGAGTAAATTTCTTTCTCCTGGGAAGTAGCTGGTTGGTTCAAATCACTAACCTTGTGGTTAGCAGCTCAGAGTAGAACCCACTATGGCACCAGCTCCCTTTTGCACAAGAGTTGTGTAAATTGAGTTGAGGATTTCTGGTTAACAATGGTAAGTAAACGCCACCAAGCCAGGCATGGGAAGCACTGAAAAGCACGTTTTGGCAACCTAACATCCACTGGTTTGATTAAAGTTATGCTCTGTGCAGTTGTCAAGGGTAGACAGAAGCCACTGGAAGGAGAAGCCCTATATCCACTTAGGTTGTAACTCATAGCGACCCTATAGGGCAGAGTAGAATAGAACTGCCCCATTTTCCAACTCAGTTTTTACAGGTGCAGACAGCCTCATCTGTCTTCCCCAGAGCAGCTGGTGGGTTTGAACCGGAGCTTGTGGTTAGCAGTCTTAACACTTAACCCACGGCACCACCAGGGCTCCATGAACTGAGATAGGAGGGGATGAAAACAAAGTGGGCAGGAATAGAAACGAGTTATTAAAATTGGACTTGGAAAGCATGGCGACAGGATCGGAAAGATGGCATCTAGCAACGATTCTTTTTTTAAAGATGTAAAATACTCAGACAAATGCTAACATAAAAGGGCCAATAGATGTCAGAGGTTGAAGATTCAAGAGTCAAAAGCACTAGTTTCACAACATACAAAGCATTCAAAACAGACTCGCTACCCAGTGAGTTGATGCTAGCTCACAGCAAGCCTGTAGGACAGGTTAAAACTGCCAGTTAATTTCCGAGGCTGTAGGTTGGAACTGCTGACTCTACAGATAGCAGCCCAACAAGTAACCACTGCACAGGGACTCAAGAGTCGCTACAGTTTGGGCACTCAAGTTTTCTGGTTTTATTTCTCAAAAGCAGCATGAGGTGATCACTACTGTTCTCATTTTACAGATAAAAGGAAAGCCAGAGCTCAAGTTATGCCCAGGGCCACTCGGTTCACTGCTCTGCAGGGCTGCAGGGCCTGGAGCAGAGAACAGCGTAGATCCAGGACACGGTGAGGAACATGCGGCCCGTGGGCCAGCTAAGGCCTGAGGAATTGATAGCAGCATCACGTGCTTCGCCAACAGAGAAGCAGTTCGATCCATTGCTTTAGGGGTGAATCAAACGTTTGAGAGTATGGCCCTCAAATGCTGTTATATCCAAATGGCCTGGGGCAGAAAAAAGGTTCCCCACCTGGGTTAGTAGGTGGAATTTCAAGTAATTTCTGTCTGAAGTACTCTTACAACATTAAGGTAACAAGTCAGAGTTACCTTACTCGAAGATGAGGGGGCGGCCACAAAATTAAGGCACTTTTGTCCCAGAGAAGAGGCTAAGTTAACTAGGGTAGGAAATACAGAATCATAGGCAGCATTGTGCTTGGTTAACATTCATTTTTAGTAATAGCTTTCTTCCAGAATACTTTGTGGGGGACTGCACATACATAGGGTTGGGATTTTTTAACATTTGGGAAAGTTATTTGGGACGCTGACTGGTCATCAATTAAAACCGAGGCAGGACTATGACGGTGCAATCCACAGTAGCAGGAGCAAAGGGAAAGGAGGCGTATGCTCAGAGGCAGGATTTCAAAATGAGCACCGTCTGTCTGAGGTGAGCCCGTTTCCGAACACTGATGTGGTTGTGGTGGAGAAAAATTAGAAATGGTCAGTGAAGCCAATCAGAGTTGAAATCTTTTATTTCCCCAAAATTCACTCAAAGCATATAACCTATATTTCTGCTCTCAGCCTATGGCTTAATCAGAAGTACAATCACTCGAGATTTTTCTCTCTGCCTTTCACTTCTCCCAGGTTTGAAAGATGATACATCTCAGGACTTCTCCTGTGATGGTGAATGTCACAAACAGGAGACGTGCAGAAGCTGCACATTTCAGTTATGAGATTGATATAGAGAAGTTGCCGTTAAATTTAATTTTTTCACCAAACGGTGTTATTTCACTGCATGAAAAGAACTTAACATTTTCCACCAGGCCCCTTTTCAGCAGGATATAGAGATGGTATAGCATCCATCTTCTGTGACTGTTTTCTGATTTAGTATGGGAAAAAAAAAAAAAAATCAAAGCCTCATTGTTCGTGCTTGAAAGACAGCCAGCAAGTTTAATGTGGTGCTGGGAATCCAGGCCGCATGGCCCAGCAGATCCAAATTTACTCCTGCTTGAATTACGTTAATGTCCAACACATAAAGTAACTGAAATATGAATTTCTCGATTTGGACAGGAAGAAAAAAGCTCTCTCAGCTACTTCTTATTTGAGAAGGCGCTTCTTACACACCAGCAACGAAAACTTAATAACCCAGCATATTTTAACAATGAAATGAAAATACTTTTTAAAACAATACTGTTTTCTCCCTCTTCAATTTTTAAACATAATCAGTCCTTTTCTCTCAAACTAGTTAATTCCACAGACTAGATATTCAAAAATCAGTTGCCAATATAGATTTTGTTGAGTGAAGTCAAACTTGACCAAATCATTTTTGTTAAATGCCCTGTTATTGTCTACTATTCACTGACAACAGCTTACTGTAAGGGGTAGCATCAACCTTAAAACAATTTGAACAACATGGAGGGGGTGGGAGGGGAAACCATAGGCCAAGAAACCCAAAAACCTCTGAGGGTGGAATACACGAAGACTGCTTCACATGGACTCCATAGACCAGAAATCTCACCTGTTCGACCTGCTACTTTCCTAACACATTCTAAATAATAATAATAATAATAATAAAAGGAATAATTGAAAATTCAGCACATTTACATCTAAATATCTAAACATTTAGCAGTTAGGTTCACAGACAGGTTTGACTCAAGCCTTTTAATGTCAGAAATATAATTTCAGACCCAACTGTTCAAAGATCACTTACTAACCCACAATTTATGTTAATCGGCTCCAGAACTCAACCCTCCAACAGCAGCCAGCCCATTCCAACCTGACTCCAACAGAAAGCAATACATGGTTTTTCTAATTAGATGTTACTGTTCTTATCAACATAGGAGCATTGGGAGAAAATGGTAGGAATTTCTTCTTCAATAAACCTACTCTTCCCTTGTAGATAATAAATGATGATAAAGGTATCACAACCAGATGTGTAGGGAACTGCTTTCCCTTATTAAGCCTTAGGGAAAAAAGTAACTCTGAGCACTTGTTATCTTAAAAAAAAAACAACAAAGCAGGTAGGCGGGTAGTGGGGTGTGTGTGTAAGTAATTTAAGTAATCCTAAGTAGACAGGAGCAAATGGTCGCAAAAATAATGCAGTCCTCTGTAAAAATTGGCCAAATTTTATGTGTAAAACAAAACACAGTAGTATGCACGACTGCTTATGGTCATAAATTTCAAATTTATGAGAATTGGAAGTCCATTCTCACAAGTATAAAAGCACTTGTTCTTATGTTGCTTTGGTCCAAGAGAGTACAGCCAAATCAATGAGAGTCAACTAAGTATTTAATCTTTAGCCAACATTAATTTAGATTGTTACTGGAAGGAGAAATATCTATGATGAACAACTCTACGTAGAACAAAGTATAATAAGCAAAGAATATCTTTCAGAAACATCACAGTATCAAATAAATGTTCTATAAGAGAAAAAGACGAAGGAATAACAACAAAAGATTAAAAACAGCTATCACCAAAAAGAAAAAAAAAAAACCACAGAACATTACCTGTTTCAGAAATATCTCCCTTAGCACTGCATCAGAGGGGTAAGAAGGTAAAGTTAGCGGGCTGATGATGCTAACAGGAAAAGAAGCCGAGTACTGTATTTATTTCTTATTTTATACAACTCTTACTCTTTACAAAAATGGTTATAGTCATGCCCATAAAAGTGTAACCCATGGCATCTGAAAGCAAACACTCTTTGTAATTATTTAAAAGGGCCTTTTTAAAAATTATAATACAAAGGTCTGTGCTCTATAAGCAGTCCTCCACTGTGCATTATAACAATAAGGCTTACTTTTAATACAAAGACTGAGTGTTTGGGAGTTATGAACCACTGGATTTAACAAACATCATCTTGTAATTGCTTTTTGCATCTTTTTTGGTTTTGGGGTCCTCCACCTCATCGGGGTGCTCGGCAGCTTGCAGTTCTTCAGCAGACTCCTCCTTCTCTGACTCCGAGTCACTTTCGGAGTCGTCTGGGCTCTCAGGGTCAGGTGAGTCGTCCTCGTCCTCTCCAGCCACATCACCTTCTCCATCATGATCTTCAACCTAAAAACACCAACAGGCTCTTCACTTCCTTACGACAATCACCTCGTACAAAACTTGGAAAAGACCCTAATTTTTGCCAAAGTTGTAAAAACAACCCACTTAAAATTAAATCAGTGGTTTAAAAACTAGATCTGATTAGAGGAAGGTTGATGGAGACACCTGCACATCCATCCACTGTTTACAGAATGAACTCTGGGCAGGATTTCATGTAAGAAAAGCCTCTGAAGACAATTCACTAATCTCCCGCCCCTAGTATGAAACTGTCTTACACCTTCCTGAAAGAAACAATCATTTTAAAATACATCAGGCAAGTTTCCATTATTTTGCAGATGTTACTACTTTGGAGTAATTAACCAGTAGTTAAACATTAATTCATAAAATGAAGAGCCATCATTTAGGAAATAAATGGGAAGAAAGTCTCCTACAGCACTGTCTTAAACTGCCACACACTCTTGCACCTAACTTGGGGGCAACAGTAAGGACGAGCCTTAATAATTAGCTATGCCAAATTTATTTCTAAAACCCTAAAAATATCTCTTCAGATTATTTACAGAGAACCTAATGGACACATACAATTATTTTTAAATAATTGAAGAAAGAAAGTATTCTATATAGGATTCGCACTTGTTAGGGCAAACTGACAGTCAAGTGATACTAAATGATACCAAATTGTAAAAACTGATCATCTGACCAATCAATTAATATGTTAGTTACTACCTCACTGAAGCCAAGTCCACAATGCCGTCGATATCTTCCTGATAATTTACTGTCCATACTTTGCTGATATTGAGACTCCAGTTCTTCATTAATTTTCTTGTCTTCTTCCCCTGCATGTCCAGTGTACTTTGGTTATGTTTTAGTCAAATTAATAAAAACATTTGATTACACAAAAAAACCCATAATACAGATACTATTATATTCAGGGTTGATTTTTCTAGTTGCAACTAATTGTACAATAAATTTTGTGAACAAGTTTCTATATCCCAGGTGGTTACCTAATTAGACAATAAAATAAATGGAGCATGCATTGATGAATACTTCTTTGGTAAATAACATTCTGAACCATGTGTTTATATAAGATGAACTTATATTTTTCTTTTTGACAAGCTAAGCCAAACATACAAGTCTCAGAAAGAGCTGCTGAAGTTCACATTAAATAACAATTTAACCAAGTAATTAATCATTAATTACTAAGAGTTTGGGCTATTAAATATATATTTCAGCTTGTTTATAGTGTAATAAAGGATTCATTTCCTAAGTGTGAATGTTTTATCCTGGATAATCTAAAAAATTAAAACCCCTCCAATAAACAAAAACTTGTGTGAAAAGAAATTAATCAATGGAAGCCACTTCTGTTCAGAAAAAGCTAAATAAAATGACTGTGTAATAGCTCTCCTTTAAGCAGTTCTTTGCTTACCAGTGTATCAAAGCAATATAAATTTGCTTAAGAATTTTTATTATTGCTATGCTTTGAATTTTATGTATATTCTGGTGTAAATTATAGGCTAGAATGCGAACCAAATCCCCACAAATCATAAGAACAAACGAACTCGAACATTACCAGTTCCATAGAAGTTTCCTATGTAAGACAATTTGTAAATATGAAAGGGTTTTAAAAATTTACAGACAAATGGAACTGAAAAATAATGAAAATTTACCACAAACGTTTGGACGTTCCCTCGTATGTCTTAGAATTTCACACTTTAAAAGTATATTTAAATAAGAGTTTTATTCACTATCATTTGGTCATTACACCACACCCTGTTGTTAACAGTGCCCACAGTTACCGTCAATTCTAAATTGGAGAAAATTTTACTTTACAGCAGACTGAATTCATACCCAAGTTCACTGTTTTTATTTTAAAAATTCCTCTTACATTCTACAACTAACCTTATGTTTCACAAAAATTTCAGAACAATGAATTACTAAAATCCCGTCCTAATATGCCAACTACAACAATTTTAGCAACAATATATAAGTAACTTAAAAAATTTGCAACGTAAGCTACACATGGCATAGTTGGCAAGATGAGGCACAAAACATTACAATTAAAGTACATGTTCTGAGTCAGAAAAATGCAGACCAAAAGAGCTTAGTTTCTTGGTTGGAATATCATATTAATAGATATTTTCCAATCTTTTTAATACTAGTCTTAACATGATACATATAACATGCTTACATGACATATACCTTTCCAATTCTAATGTTTATCATTAGCACAATTAATTACAGAAGTGAGACGATCTCAAGATAAGCACGAAGAGTTCATTTCCAATTTAGCACCTCAACTCTAATTATATTTTAGTTCCTCACCTGTTCGGAAGTGAGATGTTGATTTGTGATCTCCTATAACAAGACGACCGGTATGTTCTTTCTGTAATGAAGTAGAAAGTGTGCTAGTTTGAAACCATTAACATAGTTATTGAGTATCTATATCTACTAAGAGCCTGACTATTCCAGGTCTTTGGTACAAGTGAAGAAAAAGATGAAATGACAAAGACTACATTGAAGCGCCCAGTCTTTATAGAGGAAGGGTTGGGAAGGAACACAATAAAGGCCCTCAAGCATGTGTACTAACAGTGTGTCCGTGTGTTATGAGGTATTAGGTGCCATTTAAAAAGAAACAGAGCAGGAAGGGAGGATTAGAAAATATAAATCAGGTTAGGGATCAAGTCAGCATGTTAAATGGGATGGGCAGGCAGGGTAGGATGTGCTAGAAATACGCCAAGTATCCCTTGCTTTTTGAAAGTTTGTGTTACACCATACTTCACACGTTTACACAAGGCCTACATTTGTTTCCAGCTGAAAGAAATTTGAAGGGCTGTCACCTTTGATGAAAAAAGGTGACAAGGAAAACTGGCATTCAGTGTGTATTTTGCAGTGAGCCACGATAAAGGCAGTGCCAGATTGGCATTGCCATCCTCCCGCCTCGGGAACTACACTCAGCACCAAGCATCCACAGCCTTGACCTGTGTATTTGAACACTACATGCTACTGTTATTCTAGGTTTTGTGTGTTACGTGGTTTGACTGGATAGGTTATTTTTCAGGTTGGACTCTGTTTAAGGACATAGGACTTAGTCATACACATACTGAGTAGAGAATAGGGCATTCCAGACACAGGAATAGCATTGTTCGAAAGCATGGTTTTTCAAGTGTAGTCCCATAGCCAGCATTACCATCAATCACTTGGAAATATGTTCATAATGCAACTTCTCTACGGCCAACATCTCCTACCCATCTACTAAATCCCCAAGAAACTTGGGGATGGAGCCCACTCTTTTAACAGCCCTCCAGACAAGTCTAATGCACGCTAACGTTTGAGAGGCAATGCCCACACCTGAGTTATCAGGGAGTGTTCAAGAGAAAGGAAGCCAGCATGCGAGATGCAGTAAGTCCATGTGTGTGCATATACATACGGCGCAACTCTAGCCATACTTATCACTCATACTTCAGTTATTTTGTGGGGCTATAGTCTTCTGCTTTGGTCTCGGGTATTATAAAATCTGTATTTTAAGGTTTCAAATATAAAAGCTTGGCTAACCAGAATTCTAAAATACTAGTCATGACTGCAGAAGCTACAAAAATTAGGGAAGTTTAACTCACGTCCCTCAAACTCAGATCTACCTATACCTAAAATCTAGATCAAATATAATAAGGTTTTTTCTTTATCTGAAAGATGAAGACACAAATATTTTGTTTACTGATTACACACACACTTACAAATCAAATGCTTAAAAAAAAATACATTGTTACTATAACAGGGGGGTGGGGAATAAAAATCTAAAAGTAGAAAACTTCCAAGATCAGGTCAATTTGACCACCTAAAAATAGTTGTATAGGACTGAAGGAAAAACGTATTCAACATCCTGCTTTCATTTGCTAACTACACAGCACCTCGTACAACAGAACGAACACTGTCCAGTCCTGCACCATCCTCAAATCGTGACATCTGAGCAAGCTGTTGCAGCCACTTTGTCAGTCCATCTTGCCGAGGCTCCTCCTTTCTTGCCGGCCCTCTACAAAGCACAAAGTTCTTCTCCAGGCACTGCTACCTCTTTGTAACGTGTCCTAAGTGTGTGAAATGAAGTCTCACCATCCTAGTTTTAAGGAGCATTCTGGCTGTACTGGCAGCCCATGGTACCTAAACAATCTTTGTCAAAATCACAACTCAAAGGCATAGATTCTCTGCAGTCTTCCTGACTCACTGTCCGGCTCTCACATACATATTAGGCGACTGAATACCTTGGCGTGGGTCAAGGGCCTCTTAGTCCTTTAAATGCTTCCCTTGCTCCTTATGAAGATGCCGTGGGCAGTAGAACTGACAAATAAAACTTGTGCTTTGATCTCCTGGCTACTTTTATGAGTGTTGATTGTGGATATAAGCAAAACGAATCATTGACAACTTCAATTTGTCTCTCCTTTACCTTGATGTTGTGTATTGGTGCAGCTAAGAAGAGCTTTGTTTTCTTTACCTCGAGGTGAAATCCATACTGAAAGCTGCAGTCTTTGATTTTCATCATCAAGTACTTTTAAGTCTTCCTGGCTCTAAGCAAGCAAAGTTGGGTCATCTGCAGATCGAAGGTTAATAAGCCTTCCTCCTATCCTGAACTCATACGGTGCAGCTTCTAAGATTACTTGCTCAGCATACAGACTAAGCATGGTGATTTTAAAACAGGTAGTAATTTTTGTTCTGTTTGAACTACTTCTTTGTTTACAGATTCCAAAGCACAATGAACTGTTCTGGAATATCCCATTCTTTGCAATGTTATCCATAGTTTGCCACGATCCACATAAATGCCTTTGCGTAGTCAATATACTTACATATATTCTGGCCACAAACCCGAACAGTCTCACCTAAGGATCCAAGCTACAACCCTAGCATCACTAGCACATTTACAGTTGATGAACACCTTACTGGTCAGCAAAGCCCTACATTCTAAATTAGACGCTCTCCTAGGTAGCACCCTGCTTTGTTGGAAGAGTGCTATCCTAGTGGTTGAACATATTCCTCAACTGTTCATGTTCTGTATCTTTAGCAAATTTTTATCTGCATAGAATTAAGAGAAAATTAAGACTTTCTATCACAAATTTCAGGTTGTAAGTCGAGAAATCTAAAACAGCTTCCCATTTCAACCAAACTTGGTTCACAGGAAACACTGTTGGAACAATGTTAGAAAACATACTTTACTTGCTTATCAGATCACAAATGTTTAGATACCATCATATGTGCATTTAAAAATGAACTGCTAGGAGAAAAGAATTTTTTAATGGGCAATGTTTTCCTGATATCTATTATTTTATGCCTATTATATGAACATACCAAACAAGCTGAGAGGCCTTTAAAAATATATTAGCTATATTTTAATATAGGTATATTTTTAATAATGGATATTCCCTTAGCAACTAGTTCAGGGACTATGGGGAGCTGTAAAACATAACAGATCCATCAATTGCTTTTGGACAGAGATCTCTGTCCCTACAGAGTGACTGTGTGGAAATATTAGACAATGTCAAAAAGTATTACACCACAAAACTTTTATTAAACAAAAATATCAAGATGCGAAGACACTGCTTCTCAACAGAGCCTCCACCTAGATCTATAAGCTTTATTATTACCAACAAATAATCTATTTATTGTTAGAAATTTTAAGGGTTTTATTTCCTTAGTACAGGCAGCTTTAAGGTGCTGAGCATCTGCTGCTACCACCTGAGGGGTGATGGTGTAAGTAATCAACTTATTAAAATAAATTGATTTAAGCATCTGTAATGGTGACTTCAACCTTTACTCCAGGTTCAATACTGATGGATGTGATCTGCTAAACTATCTCAGAAGACTGTGCAAGTCAATGAGGTGCTTGTGTAGTCTCATTTGGAAACAATCCCAGGTCTTAGATCTTTGGCCACAAGTTTTCCTCATAGTGTTTCTCAAGAACACTATGGTAGGCCACCTAACTGGTCCCCTCCCTTTGAGGTTCCCCTCCTTTGCTCCTCTAATCAAGCCAGCAGCTTTTGTCTCCAGGGATGTTACATTGTGGCTGGTTGCAATCACTCTTTTCTGGCAAATGGGCCCTCTGGCCCTACAGGTGTTTTTGTGGGGTGCTTGAAAGCCATGGTGGCTATGTGACTAGAAGCAGGCAAACGAAGCACCTTGCATCTGAAATCGAGCTCTATACACTTCTGAAGGTGACGATGTTTCCATTTCTCTCAGTGTTCTACAAAGGACTCTGCCCTCCTTCATTTATACCACACCCAAGCGAGTCCTCGTCTTGGCATCTTCAAGGGACTCAAATCGCGATCCTGTGAAATGTTCCTTGAGTTTGGGGTACAAAAAGGACATCTGAAGGGGCAAGTCAGGATTGTAAGGCTAATGGAGTAAGGTTTCCCGAGAAAATTCTCAGAGGACAATCGCCACTATCCTTAAAAAAACCAAAAAGGTACATTGTCGTGAGGAAAAAAATTCCTTGGCACAATTTTCCTGGCCTTTTCCCCCCACCATTCAGTTCTCAATTTTCTTAAGACTTTCCCCCAGTGATCGTTTACTGCCTCTTCTGAAAAGATCACTTAAGATTAACCCTTTGTAATTTACAAAGACAGTCACCACAACCACCTTCTGAACTGACCCCCCCC